TTGTTCAGCTTATTGAGAGCATCTAGAATCTTACTTAACTCATTCTTAATCTTTTCCTGTACTTTCCCCAGCTTTTCAAATCTGTGAGAATTTTTTTACTCCATTTATCTGGCTTTGGCTCTTGTATTATATCGATGGATAGGGTTCTTGCTAGATGGAGCTATTCTTAAACCTTGAATACCATATCTTAGAATTAGCAAATTTATATGACTATCTCATGGTTACTTTGTTAAGTGTAATGAGTGAGAATGCGATGAATGAAAATGCATGTATGCAAAGAACATTTGCCTTAAAATGGTGCTTAACTAAAATATTTCATTTATTCCAAAAAACTTTTATTTACATTAAGTTTATCATCCTAGAGTTATAACCATAAAATCGCTTGATTTGCTCATACTAGGCCTTGGCTTTTTCGATGAAGTTTAATAGACGCTGTCCATGCTCTCCTACTGGGGCCACCACTTGTTGTAATGCCTCTGCCTCTTCTACCATCTCTCTTGCCTTGCATACCCCTTTACAAATTTGGGTCGTTAGGTGCTCAATATATTTCTATCTTCCTAAGTTTTCTCTTTTACCATACCAAACTTGGTATAATAACTTTCTATGCTCTCTAACTAATGCAGCGATATGGTCTTCTTGTTCATTCAACTTTTATCTCAACCTACTTAGGCAGCTATTCAACATGTTATTCTTTGTTTGTACTTGGGTACTTTCTTCTTCCAATTCAGCATATTCTTGTTTCAATCTTGTATTCTCTTCAGTCAGCTCAACAATTGTTACCTCTTTGGCCCTTTCTCTCACACATAACCTCTTATGTTCTTGGTGTAGCTCTGCGAAGTCTTCAACAGCTGTATCACATTCTTTAGCAATCTTGCAAACTCTAGCTTCATGTCTTTCAGCTCTATCTTTCCATTAATCTTTTTCTTCCTGAAGCTTCTGGATTTCTTGCTTTAACTTATCATTTTTAGACTCAAACTCTTTTGTCGTAAGCTCTAATTCTGATGGTCTCTCTTCAAGCTTTCATTTTGTTGGCGGTTGAAAGCTTTCATAAGTGAATACCATTTTCTATCTTCGTTTTGCTCTCCAAGGCAAATACCCTAGAGTGACTTTATCAGTAAATGGTCTAGGACTCACTTTTCGGGGATTTTTTCACGCTTTAATCATCTCATTCACCCTCTAAAATGCTTTTGGCTCGCTATAAGAGAAATCTAACTAATAAAGCCCATGCATCATAAGAATGAACTGTTCTACTTTGAATTGCCTTCTTACTAGGAATGGTGCATAATTTGTCACTCTCTATGAACCCAAAAATGGGACCAGTGTATTATCCCTACATTGATACAACATAAGTTCACGATTCATCCACAGGCCCAACCATTTTACTTCGACACTGGTCAATTTTTGTAGGAAAGCTATCCACTCCTTTTTAGACTTTTGTTCTGACCACCCACTTTCACAAAATTCTTTGATCGGAGCTCGATTGTAGACATAAAGCTTCAAGAAAGCACCTTTTCTCCATTTGAAGTTACTTTTCATCCATAAGTATAATAACTGTATGCAGCCTATAAAGCACCTTCCATTCCGAAGACAGTAACTCAAATATTTGATAATCTCTGCTAATATTACCATTGAAGGGTTACAACCATTGATCACACTCTCGAAGAAGTCAACCACCGTTATTGCAATATAACCTAAAAATTTTGGTAATATCACCATTCCGTATATGGCTAAGGCAAATACATCTAACCCCCGTTCTTCATTGGCATGTTGCATTAGAAACTCATGAAAGAACTTCCACGGTAGGCAAACCTGTTCTTGTTTCTTCTTTGTATGAGAATCCATAACTTCTTTGTCTATCCCCATGAGTTAAGCCAGACCCTTACGAAATCCTGAGTTGTGTTTTTTGACATATATCTTATTAGGAGCCTTGAGGTACAAACCCAATAAAGTCAAATATTCTTTGATGGTTGGTGTCATATCAATTTCATTAAAAATGAAACACTTATATACAGGATCCCAAAATTGTGCTACAACTCTGATTAGTTGATTGTCGACAATTACTATAAAAAGGTGTGCTATATGCCCGTGTCTTTGGTAAAACTTCTCTTATCTAACTGGGCCCATCTTCTTCCTTATTTCAACCAATTCTTCTAGATTATTTTGTTTGAGGAGGATAGATGTTTCTTGAGACAAGGTAGAATCGTAGCAGATTGGTAAACAATCCCCTATCTTCAATTGAATCTTTTTTGACTAGACCCTTACTTCATTGGGTGACTCGCAATGAGCTAATATAAATGAAGAACAAACTAGTCGTTCTGTAGAGTCCATGAAAAATTTTTGTTGAAGACCGTCTTTCAAGCAAATGTTCTTTATGCAACTTTATGATATGAGCATGAACAAATGCAAAAGAATGAGAGAAAATGTTAGTATGCCCAGAAAAAAAAGAATAAATAAATAACTAAGTAAATTAAAATATCACATAGAATAAGAGGAATGAACCTTATGCTTTTGATCAATTCTAAAAGGGAAGAGTGATGGCTCTATCTATAGGTTAGGCACTCTTAAGGTTCACTATATATGGTTTAAGGTTAAAGCTAAAGGTTCCCAAATTGCTCCTTACATCATTGTCTATCACAGACTAGTAAGACACCCAAATAATCACCCATTACAGGCTACAAGCGAAAAAGGTTCAATTTGAGTGGGAGTATTTCGCTAGCTACTACGAAGGCATTAAACCTCATGAAAGCAATAGGGACTTTACTCCTTCCTAGAGGGACGGAGCTCGGGTATAAAGCTCATGTTATGCATATGCATGTGAATGACATAATTAATAAAGTAAATAAACATGAATGAATAATAAAAAAAAATCTATACAAGAGGTTCAATTTTATTAGGCTTTTGAATAACACAAATTTATTTCCTGGCCCAACTCTCGGTTGTCCCCAGTGGAGTTATCAAACTGTCATAACATATAGATCTGAGGGCCTATTGCTAGACATTGACTTGAAGAAGTCACCATCAATCTTTTTTATCTAGGTGCGATTGGCCACCTAAGGAATCTATCCTTTTAAAAAACACCTAAGCCTAAGGGTCCCTAAAAGAATAGGTTCAGGTCTACTAACCAGAATAGGGTTCAGGAGTACGGTTACGTGTGAGAAAGGTTGTATCACCCTCACAACGCCTATCGAAAGATGATACCAGCTTAATTTTGTGTTATCCAATAAGCCTTAAAAATTTATTAAGTGATTAATTATTGAAAATTATTCTCAATTAACTCTAATACTTTTAGCAAAAAATTAAAAAAGTTCTCTCACCTCAAAGTATGCAAGAAGACTACTGTTTCACTTGCAGAAGCTCTATCGTCGGATTATTTAACGTTGAAAAAAATTCAAGAAAATAAAAAGGAAAAGAAATAAAATAGAAAAAATGATTTAGCTTTAGATATAAATCCTTTTCTCTTTAAAAACTCATTGCTTTTATACAAGAAAAATTAATACTTTCAACTTTTCCTCAAAATGTTTTTTTCTCTAAAACTTCAATTTTGAGAAAAATTGATACTTTTAACTTTTCTTCGAAAATATTTTTTCTGAAAACTTATTTTCAAGGAAAATTGATACTTTCAACTTTTCCTCAAAAATATTTTCTAGAAAACTTATTTTCAAGAAAAATTGATATTTTCAACTTTTCCTCAAAAATATTTTTTAGAAAACTTATTTTTAAGGAAAATTGATACTTTCAACTTTTTCTCAAAAATATTTTTTGGAAATTTTATTTAGAAAAAACCATTTAAAAAAATAAAATAAAAATAAAAATAAAAAATAAAATAATGAATACTAAATAATTCTAATCTAATCAATAAATAATAATAATAATAATAAATAAATATATATAAATATAAAAAAAATAAAAAAAAACCTTTTGAACGGCTCGACTTGACTGGAAAACGACTCGGCTCAAGGTAGAAAAGGCAGCTCGAAGACGTGACTCGGGGACGTCGGCTCGGTTCCAAGAGTCAACTAGCACTTAGGTCACACGCGGGTCAAACGTGGGTTGGCGCTTGGGTCGGGTCACCCGATTCAAAAGGCGCAGATCCTCTAAGAATAGTAACGCCAAAATGATGTCATTTTCAGCAAGTATAAAAGGCTCTAACCTCTATTTTTCAGCAAACCGCTTTTTTTCTCTCTCTTCTTCTCTTTTTCTCTCATTCTCTCTCTAAACAATCCCAGATTCCGGTTGAATTTCTATTGGAATCTGAAAAAAGTCACCAGAATCTTAAAATCTGGTCAAAAAACTCGTCGAAAAATTTAAAATTCGTCGAAAAATTTCATTGGATTCTGGAAAATTTCCAAAAATTTTTCAGAAAAAAGGCCAAAAATTCGTAAAAAAAATTCCCACCAATTTTTAAAGCTGTTCTAACGCACCAAAACCCTTTTTTAGCTTCTGTTTTCTCTCTATGTGTTTTTTTCGTTTGTTTTCTATGGATCTATTTATAGAGATTCAATCTCAAAATCCCTGACCAATCCAAATTCCCTTTTTGATTAGGTTTTTAATGGTTTAATTCAACTATGATTCTCTACTGCCTTTATTCACGGCAGAATGCATCCCAATTTTCTAATCCTAATTCCAGTTGAAAATTATCAAGAAAAGATAAAGTTAAAGAGAAAAAAAAAAGATAAATAATATAAAGAAAACATATATATATATTAATAGATAAATGATACAAAAAAAATTAATATGTTAATAGATAAAAATAAATATATTAGCAGATAAATAATAAATATATTTAAAAGATAAAAAATAAAAAAAATAAAAAATAATAATACTAATAAAAATAAAAACAAAAATAGACTTATTTTACCCATTTAGACCAGACCCAATTAATCCGGGTCTAGATCAAATTGGGTGTCTACGTCACGAAGCACATCCACCTCCCACTGTTTGGTACTGGTATCAAGCAAGTCTTTAACCAATCCGTCCTCGTCCCCTTTTCCTCCAGGTGATTAGGGCATTAAAGTTGGTGTAAATGGCAACCATTTATCCTTCCATATTCGAACAGACTGTCCATCCCCTCTTCTCCACCGTGTCCCTTGTCTGATGATGGCCAATGAAGTCCAAATGCTTTTCCACGTCAGTGAAGGATTATTCCCTAGCGCATATTCCAAGACTGAAGTATCTGGAAAATTTTTTGCCTTTAAAACACTATATGCTACGGTGTTGGTATTGCAAAGTAATCTCCAGCCTTGTTTTGCTAGCAGCGCTATGTTGAACTTCTCCATTTCCAGAAATCCCATCCCTCCTTCATGTTTCGGCTTGCACATGTTTTCCCAGCTGATCCAATGAACTCTTTTTTTTTTTTTATTTTGCTGCCACCAGAATCCACTTATCGTACTGTTGATTTTACTGCACATTGCCTTTGGTAGTAAGAAACAACTCATTGTGTATGTTGGCGTCGCTTGGTTTACACCTTTAAGGAATATCCCCTTGGCCACTTGTGAAGGAGTTCTGTTACTCCATCCACTCATCCTTGCTCTAATTCTGTCTTTTAGAACTCTGAAGGCCCACTTGCGGTTTCTTCCTACCAATAATGGCTGTCCCAGATATTTCTGGTGGTAACTTCTATATTGAGTACCTTCCTTATTTCAGCCTTTCGTCCTCTGATATGTTTCTGCTAAAAAATAAAGCAGATTTGTCAAGATTGATGCATTGCCCAGAGCTGTCCCGCTTCACCATCTCATTTTCGTTCCTATTTGCTTTTGATTGCACAATTCTTTAAGCGCATAAGCGGTTCAAGTAATAATAAAAATTATAAAAGTCTAGATGTCCCACAAGGATTAGTTAAAGACATTCCTAAGCTAAGTACCTATTATCTCTATACCCTTCTAAAATTGATTCAATCAAAAAATATTTATGAAAAATTTAAAATTCTACTAAAAAAATTGAAGTAATCAACTAAAATTAACTAACTAAAATAAAGAAATGAATAAAATGCAAAAGAAAAATTATAACTAGTCATAAAATGCAAAGACACATAATAACTAGACAAAAATGCAAAATGTGCAAATCACATGTAAAACTACATTATGGAAATGAAAGCTAAATATGAAACCTTCCTAAGGTTAAACTAGTTTTGAAACAACCCTTAAATAGCATGTATGAACACTTGATTGAAGGTGGACAAAACTGAACAGAATGTTAAAAAAAAAAAGAAAAATTAACCAAGCAACACATCAAACCAGAAATGCAAAGAATAACCATAGCTGGAAACTAATTTTTGATTTCATTGTTTTGGACTTCTACTTTGCACAAATGAATCTACACCTAATCTGAAATTCATACGGAAAAGTAGAGGACTAAATGAAGAATTAAATGGCAGAAGAAAATATGCAGAAAAATACACAAACAATACAAAGAAACTAAAATAGTAGCTGGTATGTACTAGAAACACAAGAATTTCAAGAGAAAAAAAATTTCATCTACAATTATATACTGCAAATTAACTTCATCTAAGCTAAAGCAACCTAGATCTATGAGTTAACTACCTAAATCAACAATAAAATTACATAAATCAATAAAGAAATGAGCTCAACAAACTCAATTTCAAAAACAATGCAAAATCTAGAAAATCATAATATCATATAAGAAAATGATCCAAACAGCAATGAAATATAAAAAAATAAAATGAATCAAGTAGAATCAACAAGTAAACAAGTAAAACTAAGGATTTAGAGTGAAAAGAAAGCAAAGAACTTGCCAAGGAGAGAGCAATTCAACGCCAAACTTGATTGATCACATCTGACCTGCACCTGTCACTTACATCCAAATGAATCTTCGAAGCTTGATCTGGAATGCTGTGGTGCAAGTTTGAGGCTAAATTTTTAATTTATTTTAGCTAATTGAATTAGGAAAGTATGCAAAAAAAATTAGAACAAAAACAAGTAAGATTTGAATGAGATATCATCAAAAAAATCGCAAGTAAGTTAGAATTAATAGGTTCAAAAATAGATTTGAGTATCAACAAAAAAATCAGTGGATTTGAGCTAGAAGTCAATAAAATTTGCAAGTTTCATTGCCAAAATCGTAAAGAACAACAAAAAAATACTTGAGTAATTGTAAAAGTGGAACAAAATCAATAAAAAAACATGAAGATCAAGGGTTGTTTGATTGCTAAGAAAATAAAATATAGTTAAGGAAAGTGCAAATATTAAAGAATAAGAAAAATAAAATCTTAAGCTAAAGTCTATCTAAAATGGCTGGTTCCACTCCTATTTATAGGCATGTGAATGATGAATACAACCCCAAAGAATCTCTCCAAAATATCTGTAATAAGGTGAGCTTCTAGAGGCTTCTTTCCTCCTTGCTTCCTCACTTGGAGTATGGCCATTCGTAGGTTTTTTTGTTCTTCCTCAATTGCAAGCCTTCGTCATGCATTTTGCCACTTCCAAAAGTTCCAAGTTATAGCCAATGAAAACTCTCCATTATGCCATGTCATCACCTTTTGAAGTATTCCTTTGAATGCCAAAATATGATGCACAATTCTCATGCAAATAAAGGTTGCATTCCACGCCACTAGTGCCCTATTTTTTCCTTATTAAGCCTCTTGCATGCATGCATGTTTTCAATTTTTGCTACAAAAAATTCAAGTACTCCATGAGCAAATTTAACAGTAAAATCACTAGAAAAATGCTAGAAAAAATTATTGGAAGAAAAGTTCAAGAAAACTTTCTCAAAAGCAATCTAACTTAATGACACTAGTTTTAGGCCATTTTCATAATTTGCTCAAAAAATCCTCCAAAATGTATCTAAATTGACCAAAATTTCTCCATTTTTACCTATACATGAGAAAAATGTGCTTTTAGAAGTATTTTTGTCATAATTTGCAAGGAATAAGCTAAAATATAAGAAAAATTGCACTAAAAATGAGCATGAAAATACTAAAATTTTAGTGCAATCAAACCCCAAAACTTAAGTTTTTGCTTGTCCTTAAGCAAAACAAGATTGAGCAAGAATCATACTATACTTTTAATGCTTCATTCAACATGAAAGCCTCAGGGATTGAGTAATAGATATAACTATAATAAAATCATGAATAAGTGCTAATATACAAGAATCTACCTAGGTTAAAATCATTCCTAACTATGGTTCCATAAGCAAGCAATACCTCTCACATATCTTTGCATGAAATCTAGTAATGTTATACAAAACATGAAACAGTAATAACAAGGGTCAATAAAGTATGCTCATGTTTCATAAGTTTGCTTATCACATCTCTTTCCACTAATGAAAATAAACATATGACCAAAGATTATTTAGAACTTTATTAAGCTCGTAATGTAAGGCTAAGGTTAAGGTATGGTAAAAGTCATTTAGGTTTAAGTACCCTAACAATGCATTACATGTCTATGATTATCCATAGTTAAACTCTTAAGGTAAGAAAGGTAAGCTTGACTAAAGAGTCACCCCTCCAAACTTTGATTTTACCTATTTTTCTTTCTTTTCTTTGCTTTTTCACCACTTTATTATTTTTTCTTTTTTTCTTTGGTTTTTCTTTTCAATTTTTCTTTTTCTTTCTTTTGCAAGCTTGACTCTTTTTTCTTTTATTTTTTCATTCTTTTTCAAACTCCACCATTTTTCCCTAATGATACATAGCTCACAAATGTTGTATGAATATCCTAATGCATATAGGGTAAAGGACCAAAAAGATAGACAATACATAAAATAAGGCTATAAGATTGTAATGTGGTTTCAAAATAAAGAAAAAGACTTCATAAGGCTCAAATGGGGTGATTACAGAAATATTATATCAAGATTGGCTTGAAAAGCTCAAACGATCCAAAGATGGCCTATATCATTTCTCTAATCATGTGTTTTCTATGATTTTTTCTCGAGAAATGATAAAAAAAAATTTTAGAATCATGAAGCAAAACTCTGAAGACCAATGCAAAAATAATCTCATGCTTAAATAATCAATACTAGATAAAAAATACAATTCATGACTCAATTCATATGAGCTAATCCATTTTATTAGTGTTGTTCATGACTTAAGTCTTGGTTGATGTTTAGAACTCTAATGTCATTTATGTAGAAAAGTTGTAATGATGTTATTTCTAAAACTGTTTTACTTCTGGGCTTGACAGAAGCAAATCAGGTTGTTGATTCAAGTTATGACTTTTCTATGGTCAACTCCAACTCTTTGCTATTTCTTTTTAAATATGCACTTGAAGTGGCATAGGAGGTGTACATTGGTTTAGAGTTTTCTTTTGAAACTGTTAACATGTCTAACCAATGGACTTTTATGATATGTTCAGGTAGGTTTCCACTTAAATTGGTTGTCCTAATACCTTTTTGTACAAAAATAGGGATTTGAAGTTATTGAGCTTATCTTTAATATTTAGAACTATTTATAAGTACTTTTCTCATTGCGTGTTTAGATATTTATTAGAATCATGACCTATGTTATACTTTGGAATGCTTTTGCTTGTAACTGACATGAAAATGACTATCAAATTGATAGGCAATTGTTAGCATGGCAAAGAATCTTAATGCCATTATTATTGCCTTTAAAGGAACGTAGGAACATAGGTACTAGTATTACTTTCCTCTATAATTTTTATTCAACAATGTTTTCAAAAATAGGTATTGTTCATGGCATGATGACATAAGTGATAAAAAAGATTTGAAGTACACAAAAATGATAATATTGTTTTTTCACAAATGTAATGAGCTTTTTTTATAATGTTTGATTAATTTATTTGTCCATTCACAGCATATAGAATTGGGTTGAAGACTTATTCTGGAAACAACTTGATTTAAATTACCTTGGCATGCTTGATGGTATGGTATGCATAACAAATTTCTACTAATTTGTAAATTTATGCTAGAATGATTGTTATTAATCTTTAGTCTTTTTTTGCTATTCAGGTACACCATGGGTTTTATACTTCTTAACACAATTCAATCATACACCTTGAAATTCATAATTATGTTTAAGAAGCAAAAGAATTTTATGGAGACCTTGAATCATAAGAACATACCATTCAATGGAGGAGCTTGACTTCCTTTTGTGCACTTGATCTAACGCTAATCTAAAGCCTTTCTTGATATAGCTAGAAATATGTTATTATGTTGTTCTTTTCATCGTGTGGTAAATGTGAAACCTTTGTGCTTGCTACATAAGTTTGCATTATGTACCATGGTTTTTCCAAATCTTTTGAATTAAATTTCCTTGGTTAAATTATGGAAACTTGCCTAATTACTCTATCAGAGTTGTAATGACAAAATAAATCTTTTATTCCTAAGTTAATGTGAAGTCAAGAATGTA